GGCGACGGCGACGACGACACCGACAGCGACAGCGACGGCGACGGCGACGGCGACGACGGCCACGGGCACGGCCACGGCCACGGCCACCGCCACGGCGACGACGGCCACGGCCACGGCCACGGCCACGGCCACGACGGCGACAGCGATGGCGACGGAGACTACGACGACGACGACGATGATGCTCGAGGTTTTTGGATGGTCTGGGCGGCTCTCCAGCCCGGGGATGCTTTCCAGCAGCTGCTTCTCGCCGAGGGCGCTCTTGGGGTGCCGGGATCGTCCCGAATGGCCGCCGGCCCGCGCCCGCCAGGTTCCCGCTAACCCGCCACAGGGCCCGACCTCTCCGTCCCGTTGCGCATGCACCCGAGGGGGACAACACAATCTTCTGCCCCATGTCGTCTTGTCGCCGCCGCCGCTGCCGAACTTTGCGCGGTGCCACGGACCGTGCCACCGCCGCCGTCGTCGTCGTCGTCGTCGTCGTCGTCGTCGTCGTCGTCGTCGTCGTCGACGTCGTCGACGTCGACCTTCGTCGTCGCCGCCGCCGTCGCCTCCGCCACCGCCACTGCCGCCGTTGCCTTCTCCGTCGCCGTTGTCGTCGTCTTCGTCGTCGTCGCGGCGCCTTCGCTGTCGGGGCGGCACGCGCGCGCGTGCGCGCGCGAGGCCGCAGGGGCTTCCGAGCGCAGGCGACGCCCGCGGAAAGGCTCTTCTCGCAGGAACGGGGGCGCCGCCCGCGGCCTTTTCATCGGGCCCCACAGCGACCGACGCCGTCGCTTCGAAAGGCGACGGCGGCGATGACGACGACGACGACGACGACGACGAGGACGACGACGGCGACGGTGACGGCGACGGCGACGGCGACGACGACGACGACGACGACGACGGCTGCGGCGGCGACGGCGGCGGCGGCGACGACGACGACGACGACGGCGGTGGCGGCGGCGGCGGTGGCGGCGGCGGTGGCGATGGCGGCGGCGACGACGACGACGACGACGACGGGGGCGGTGACCTGCGGCCACATGCTGCACTCGCGGCAGCTCCCAGAGCGAGGTCTCGTGTCCCTGGGGAGTCTGCGTGCGTCGCCGTTCCGCCAGGCCCGCGGCGTCGCAGCAGAGTAGAGGCAGCGGCACGCTCGGCAGGTCTGCGCGTGTCATCTCCACGCTGAATCCAGATCTCCGACGATAATCGTATCCGGGACGAGCAACTACCCCTGGGGAAAGGGGTCGGGACCTCTGGGGCCGCGGATTGAACAAAAATACATCGGCAGATGTACCCTCAGGGGCGCAGGAAGGTGGCGGTGTGGTGACGAAAACCACGGAGGCGACGACGAAGGCGACGACGACGATGATGGCTGGGATGACGAAGGTCGAAGTAACTTCCGAAGTATTGATGTGGGTTCTTGTTCAACTGAGACTGCCGGGAGAGATTCTTACCATCAAGGGAGGAAAACCCACCCTGACCCGATAATTTCCATTTGCTAAACGGCTTTGGGCGTTTACTAAACAGCCCTGCCCTGTTCGATTCCTTCTTTGGGTGCGTTTACTAAACGGCTTCGCTTGGCGGGGTGGTTATTCTGGGGGTGGATTTTTTGCCCTCGATACCACAGTGCAGGTGCCCCGGGGGCGGTGTTTCCTTTTCCTGCCCTCCCGTGAGCCTCCTGCTGGCGTGCGTGCTCGATCGCCTGTGGCGCACATCGTGAGATCAGCGTTCGGCAGGTCCGTGTCGTGCCGCATCGGCTGCGACGCTGGCGCCGGGGCTCCAGGCGGAACGCCGCCGGTGTGGCACAGAATCGGCCAGCGTTGATCGATCCGGCGATCGAAAAATCGCCGGCTGTTCAAGCTTGCGCGATCCACGCGGTGTCCGATCGGCGTCACCCCGATCTAATTACTTATACTATATGTGCGTCGCCCCCCAGGGGCGACGCGCGCACCGAGAAATCTTATAGTGTACACGTCGTGGCGCTTTCTGGCCACACCGCTCGGAAAACGAGCTCCTACAGGATGCGAAGACTATATGTTTGGGTCGGACGCGCGGCTCCGAGGAGGACATATCGTATGTGTGTGTGTGTGCTTGCACGGGAAGGTGAGGGGTATTGGTTCGGGTGATGGCTCCTGTTGCCATAATCTACGCTCAAGCCTCTTTCCTTCTCTCGCCAGAGGCGCCCATGGGACCTGCCGCCGACAGGTCCCCGCTCGCGGTCCTCGCGGAGCTGGCGCGCGGTCGAGGTCGGCTGGTTGCCCGAGGGGCTGCCAGGGTTCGGCCCGCCGCCACCTCCGCCACCGCCGCCTGGGCCCGCGCTGGCGCCTGAGGGCTGGGGCGCGGAGGGCGCGCCGGCCTGGCTGGAGGCGGTTTGCCCGGCGGTGCCGCGTGCCCGCCCTGCCCCTCCTGCTCGTGTCCGCATGCGGAGTTCCAGGGGCCGACTCCAACCGAGCAGGCCGTGTTGTTGCTGGTGCCGCCCGTGCTCACCAACTTCCTCGGCTGCTTGGCTGGCCGCTGGTGCATGCGATGCCGCTCCGCTGCGGGACGAAATGGCGCTCCTCCTGCTCGGCGAGGAAGAGGAGTGGTGCAGTGACCTGGGCTCAGACCAGTGTGTGGCCATGGAATGCAAGGGGGGCGAAATGTATCATGAGCGGATCTTCCTGTGTCCGTGGGGCGGTGGGGAGTGTTGGATTTGCAGTCCTGGCGGCGACGAGTACTTCTAGGGCGTGGCGCGTCAGGCGGAATGCTAGTCTGGCCAGCGGCCGATCGCCCACGAGCGTGTGCAGGGGCCCGGCGGTGAGCTGATGCCGATCACGCGCTTCTTCGGAGGTAGCTTCCCGCCTGAGCTTGGCGTGCGGCTGCGGGGCGAGAAGCCGTTGACGGCCGCGATGACAGGCCTGCCCAGGCCTTCGGAGGCAGTCGGAGGCACTGCCACCCCCGTGCCCGAGGAGGAGAATGAGCCTGCTGATGCGCCGCTGCCTTTGTTGTCTGGACACGCGTGGGTGCTGGAGTCGACGGCCCCCTCGGCCATCGGCAGTGAAGTGGACATCTGCAAAGCTCCGCTCGTTGTAGCGTCGGAGTCGGCGGGCCTCGTCCTCCAGGAAGGAAGCCACGCGCGAGCGATCCGTCTGCCGGTCGGGGACGTGCCCACGTACGTCGACTCGCGGGCCACCGAGCTCCGCCGGCGACCTGGCACGGGCCACGAGGACGCGGAGGGTGACCTGTGTAAGCGGCTTGGCCGACTGCCCCTGTCTCCGTCCGGGGAGCAGCCTCGGGCCGAGGAGGCGCATTCGCCGATCAGGAGCAGAGGCGTCCGATTGCTCGCCGTGGGCTTCGACGGCCAGGACGAGCGCTTCAAGCCCTGGCGCGAGACGGTCCACGAGGACACCCAGGAAGGTTTCCGCGACCAGCCGAAGGCCCCTTCCGGGTGGGCTCACCACGTGTAGGAGCAGGCTGCTGGTGGGCGGTGATCCGTTTTTGTGGCTCAGAAGGTACCTACGTGAGGAGAGGCTCTCTAACGCGGACCACGTGGCCCATGTGCTGCGCCGCATCTGCGAGTCTATGTACATGGCGGGCTGCTATGGCCAGGTGACCCTGGGCTGGCCGATCGCGCTGGAGGAGCTCTTTAAGCGGCTCGCAGGTATCGTGGCCGCGCACGCCAACCCGCAGCGGGTGCAGTGGGAGGTGGCGAAGTACTACACTGGCGTGCAGTCGGCCGAGGGCGTGGCAAGCCCGGTGCTGCGGGCGCATGGGGCGCGCAGGATGCGCGGGGAGCGCGACGGCCAGCAGGCGCTGTGAGGCGCCCCCACCAGAGCCCAGGAGGGCGGTTTTGGCGACGGCGGTGGCGACGGCGGTGGCGGCGGCCGCGGTGGTGGCGGCGAGGAGAGCAAGGCAGGCGGGGGCGGTCGAGGACGTGGCGGCGGCGGTCGGGGCCGCGGTCGCGGCGCTGGCGCCCCCCGGGGCCACGCGATGGGCCCGCTGGCCAGGGGGTCCCCCGACCCTGGTCGGCTTCAGGGGGCTGGTGGCCGCCCCAGACTGGCGGCCTCGCGAGGACAGCGAAGTCTGTTCCCGCTCCCGCTGCTGCCGTTGGATTATGTGCGCCCCGGGCGCGGCCGAGGTCGCCTTGACGTGGTGGGCGACGCGCTGAATGCACTAAACTAAATACCAAGCAGGAAGGAATTTGTCTGGGCCGATCGTGGCCCAGACGCCCTGCCCGACGATATGCAGGCAGACGCCCAGCGGAGGGTGCGCGAGTTGGCGGACAGCTGGTTGCCCGCGCCCTTCGCAGCTCAGCGACGAGGCGGCTCTCAAGAAGCTTCTTCAGGGGCGCTCCCCCTGTCGGGCGGCGGGATGTCCGACCAGGGCCGCGTCCTTCACGCTCGACCTTGTGAGCCTCCCTGGCTCGGTCCGCGGGTGCCTGCTGATCACTGACGTGGCGCCCTCTGAGGTCGTCGGATTTCTGGGGGACTATCATGAGCGCATGCTAGCGCCGCCAGTTGATGTGTATGAGACTGTTCCCTACTTCGACCCCGAGTTGAGGTTCAACCAGAAGGAATATCATCCTCGGGCCGAGGAGGCGCATTCGCCGATCAGGAGCAAAGGCGTCCGGTTGCTGGCCGTGGGCTTCGACGGCCAGGACGAGCGCTTCAAGCCCTGGCGCGAGACGGTCCACGAGGACACCCAGGAAGGTTTCCGCGACCAGCCGAAGGTCCCTTCCGGGTGGGCTCACCACGTGTAGGAGCAGGCTGCTGGCGGGCGATGATCCGTTTTTGTGGCTCAGAAGGTACCTACGTGAGGAGAGGCTCTCTAACGCGGACCACGTGGCCCATGTGCTTCGCCGCATTTGGGAGTCTATGTACATGGCGGGCTGCTATGGCCAGGTGAACCTGGGCGGGCCGATCGCGCTGGAGGAGCTCCTTAAGCGGCTCGCAGGTATCGTGGCCGCGCACGCCAACCCGCAGCGGGTGCAGTGGGAGGTGGCGAAGTACTACACCGGCGTGCAGTCGGCTGAGGCTGAGGCAGGCTGAGGCTGATGCTCAGGCAGGCTGAGGCTGAGGCAGGCTGAGGCTGAGGCTGAGGCTGAGGCAGGCTGAGGCTGAGGCCGAGGCTGAAGGCAGACTGAGGCTGAGGCTGAAGCAGGCTGAGGCTGAGGCTGAGGCAGGCTGAGGCTGAGGCTGAGGCAGGCTGAGGCTGAGGCTGTGACTGCGACTGCCGTTGCCACTGCGACTTTCATCGCGGATGCGACTGCGACTGCGAGAACAGCAGAATTCTACAACTGGATTCTCATGTGAATCTTAAGGGGGATGCTTCCATCTATGCTCCTACACATCGCTGTTAGGTTGCTTTGCCGGGATAATATAATTGTTTGTTTTGTATATTTAAACAACAACAAAAATCCAGACGAGCGAGAAGTGAAAAAGGTTTGGCTCGATTCCTACCGAAGGCGAAGGTGACCGCCGCGTTGTCGCAAAGGAGAAGCTGCCTCATATCAGACCCGCGCGATCTCGTTACAACATGGACGAAACCTTCGACCAAAGCACGGGCATCCTTGACAAGGATACCCTCAGGTCGCTCCCACTCTTGCACTCTCACCAGACGCCAGAGCTCTGACTTCAAAAGACTGGCGGGCACCTCAGGGAAGGATCGGTCGACCTCCCAGTCTGGCGCCGCATCCGAAAAAGGCTCATCCTCATTGCCATCCGCGGCGATCGCAACTGACCAGCTGCCGTCCGCCTGTCGACTGAAGCCCACGGCCCCGAGGGCACTCTCTCGGGCCCGATGGGGGCCGACGCGGCGGCAGCGCTGGCGCTCAGATGCGCGCCCCACCTCCCGCGGCCCGCGAGCGCCTGCGCCACGGCGTAGCCCTCGAGACTGCTGTCGGTCTGCGCCGCCAGCTCGTTCCAGCCGCGCAGCCAGTCGCTCATCACGAAGACCATGAGCGACCTGAAGACGAGTAGCTCCGCACGGCGCTCGCCCCGCAGCGGCTCCACCCTGCCCGAGACGCGGCCTCGCCCCCCGAACGCGTAGACCGAGTGGAAGATGCTGAGCAGCCCGCGGCAACACGGGGCGGCGAACGCGCAGTGGCCGAGGGCGACCTCCAGCGACCAGGCGCTAGCCCGCCGGCGCCGCAGCAGCGCACCCAGCGCCCCATGGATGCCCCAGAAGCGCTTGGGCGTGACCCGCGTCCGCAGGGCGGCACCGTCCAGCTCCGCGCCCAGCGCGACAACCCCAGCGCGCGAGAGCTCGGACTTGTGCAGCAGCAGCAGGCTCTCGCGATTGAAGCCCTCCCAACTTCTCGAACGCCGCGCCGACCGCCTGCTCGCAGACCCCGACCACCCCGAGCCCGGCTCTCTCCTCGGCCCGAGCTGGTCTCGCCGCCAGCGGCGGCCCGCGATCGCGTAGGGGGGCCCCAGGCAAAGAGGGCGACACCTTGACCACAGTGGCCTCGTTGATACTCTGGGCGACCCACGGGCCCCACGTGAAACCCATGGGTAGGGCGGCCCAGCACGGCGCCGCGGCCTCCGCGGGGCCGAGCGGGCGCCCATTCACCTCCACGCCCGTCGCTCCCATCACGCGGGCCAGCGCCAGGGGGCAGAAATAGTGAGACAGCCGCGACGGCGCGCGTAGCCGGTGGAAGCAGTTCGAGACGTCCGAGAGCCCGATCGACAGGTAGAAATCGCTCAGCAGCTCGGCGGCGCGCTCGGAGCCCAGCGGCGCGTCGGCGGGCAGCTCTCTATGCGAGAAGGGCCCTCCGAGCTCATGAGCGAGACGCCTGGTGGAGCCAGGAAGCACTCGCTGGCCCGCCTGGCATCGACGATGAGCCTCTGAGCTGCGCCGCCGCCCTTCTCCTCCGCGAAGAGACCCACCTGGCACTTCGGAGTGGGCGCCCACGATATAATTCCGATGTCTGCCAGGCGACGGAGAAGCCGATGATATTCCTTCTGGTTGAACCTCAACTCGGGGTCGAAGTAGGGAACAGTCTCATACGCATCAACTGGCGGCGCTAGCATGCGCTCATGATAGTCCTCCAGAAATCCGACGACCTCAGAGGGCGCCACGTCAGTGACCAGCGGGCACCCGCGGACCGAGCCAGGGAGACTCACCAGGTCGAGCGCGAAGGACGCGGCCCTGGTCGGACATCCCGCCGCCCGATAGGGGGAGCGCCCCTGAAGCAGCTTCTTGAGAGCCGCCTCGTCGCTGAGCTGCGAAGGGCGCGGGTACCGGCTGTCCGCCAACTCGCACGCCCTCCGCTGGGCGTCTGCCTGCGTATCGTCGGGCAGGACGTCAGGGCCACGATCGGCCCAGACAAATTCCTTCCTGCCTGTCATCCAATCCAGTGCCTTCAGCGCGTCGCCCACCACGTCAAGGCGACCTCGGCCGCGCCCGGGGCGCGCAGAATCCAACGTCAGCAGCGGGAGCGGGAACAGACTTCGCTGTCCTCGCGAGGCCGCCAGTCCGGGGCGGCCGCCAGCCCCCTGAAGCCGACCAGGGTCGGGGGGGCCCCTGGCCGGCGGGCCCATCAGGTGGCCCCGGGGGGCGCCAGCGCCGCGACCGCGGCCCCGACCGCCGCCGCCACGTCCTCGACCGCCCCCGCCTGCTTTGCTCGCCTCGCCGCCGCCACCGCGGCCGCCGCCACCGCCGTCGCCAAAACCGCCCTCCTGGGCTCTGGCGGGGGCGCCTCACAGCGCCTGCTGGCCGTCGCGCTCCCCGCGCACCCTGCGCGCCCCATGCGCCCGCAGCACACGGCTTGCCACGCCCTCGGCCTCGGCCTCAGCCTCAGCCTGCCTCAGCCTCAGCCTGATTCAGCCTCAGCCTCAGCCTCAGCCTGCCTCAGCCTCAGCCTGCCTCAGCCTCAGCCTCAGCCTGCCTCAGCCTCAGCCTCAGCCTGATTCAGCCTCAGCCTCAGTCTGCCTTCAGCCTCGGCCTCAGCCTCAGCCTGCCTCCTCAGCCTCAGCCTCAGCCTCAGCCTGCCTCAGCCTCAGCCTGCCTCAGCCTCAGCCTGCCTCAGCCTCAGCCTCAGCCTGCCTCAGCCTCAGCCTCAGCCTGCCTTCAGCCTCAGCCTCAGTCTGCCTTCAGCCTCGGCCTCAGCCTCAGCCTGCCTCAGCCTCAGCCTGCATCAGCCTGAGCCTCAGCCTCAGCCTGCCTCAGCATCAGCCCGCTGCCTCAGCCTCAGCCTCAGCCTCAGCCTGCTTCAGCCTGAGCCTCAGTCTGCCTTCAGCCTCGGCCTCAGCCTCAGCCTGCCTCAGCCTCAGCCTGCCTCAGCATTCAAAATGTGGCCTGGGAATGGAGTTCTGGGAACTCGAAGAACACGAAGTGGCCTACAGTTGGCTCCGGGCATTCAAAATCATGCCCAGGAATGGAGTTCTGGGAACTCGAAGACCACGAAGTGGCCTACAGTTGGCTCCGGGCATTCAAAATCATGCCCAGGAATGGAGTTCTGGGAACTCGAAGACCACGAAGTGGCCTACAGTTGGCTCCGGGCACCCAAAATGTGGCCCGGGAGTGGAGTTCTGGAAACTCGAAGACCACGAAGTGGCTTAGAGTTGGCTCCGGGCATACAAAATGTGGCCCGGGAGTGGAGTTCTGGAAACTCGAAGACCACATCGTGGCTTACAGTTGGTTCCGGGTATCCAAAATGTACGCCGGGAATGGAGTTCTGGGAACTCGAAGACCACGAAGTGGCCTACAGGTGGCTCCGGGCATTCAAAAATGTACGCCGGGAATGGAGTTCTAGCAGCGCCAAGAACGATTTTGCGAGGATGTCCCAGGCGATTTGGGCTTCGGCGGCAGCCGCCCCGGGTCCCGCCCGGACCCCCCTGTGGAGTCATTTGCTGCTCTCTTTTGGCACCAGTAGAAACCTATCAGTCTTCGCTGTTAGGTAATTATTTATATATCGCCCATGGTTTGGCCAGGAATGTCTCAGGCGCTGTGCGTTGGATTCCCCCCGAACTGGATTTCTCGGGTAAAGGTATTCGGATTTTCGAGAACAGCAGTGCCAGTAAGATTTTAGTCGATGATATCCCTTCTGTGAGTGTCAGAGGCAACAGTTTAAGGGACACTTTTGAATACCCGCAATATCCGAGCCGATGTAATGTAGATGCATCTGCCATTGGTGCCCCCCCCTCCATGTGCGTAACCATTTCGTCTCAAGATCTATCCCGTTCTGCTCGTATTCATTAAGATCCCACGTGTCCCAGTTGTGATGACAGCCAGTGAGAGGCAAGCAGGAATGCCTCCGTCGGAGCCTCGACCGAGCAAGAGCCAGCGTGGCCGCGGGTCTCTGGCCAACCAGAGGAGGGCGACCCTGCGGCCGCAGGACGTCCAGCTAGCCCTGCGCGAGAGGCTGGGCTGCAGGCGCCAGGAGATGTGCCCTCCCGAGAGCGAGGAGCTGCTGAGGCGCGAGCCCGAGCTGGCCGACGTCGGCGAGAGCAGCAACGCCGACGACGAGGCGAGGCCCGGGCCAGGGGCCGCGCGGAGGGCCGTCCTGCGGCGCATGGGCCACCAGAGGAGGCGCAAGTTCCTGGGCGTCGCCCTCGCTACCGCCGCGATCGGAGCCAGCAGCTTCTTCGAGGAGAGCTCGGTGACGCCGAGGGTGCTGGAGCGATGCCAGGCCGAAGTGCCTGGCTTCACAGACTTCGCCGAGGGCCGCCCGCTGGTGCGCGACGAGCAGGTCGACGGCGTGCTGGTGGACTACTTCAACTTCGTGTTCTTCAAGGGCTGGGGCGCAAACAAGGGGGGGCATATTCTGGCTGGTCTGATGTGTCTGGCGCCGGAGTTCTCGCGGGCTGACCGCCGCCAGTTCCCCCAAGCCTTCCGCTGCCTGAAGGGCTGGCGGCGCTGGGCCCCGGGTCGCAGCAGGCGGAGCTGGCCGCTGGCCTTGTGGGCTGGGGTGGCATGGGGGCTGACGGAGCGTGGCTTTCTGCAGATGGCGGTCTTCCTCCTGGTCTCACTCGGCAGCTACCTGAGGCCGAACGAGCTGATGGGTTTCGAGCGCCGTGGTATCATTGCTCCTGCGGCTGGGATCTCC